AGATTAAATGGCTTCCCAGAATGAAACAATTCTAATTTGGAAAGGAAAGATTAACTTTAGAAATCAATTTTGAAATCGCATTCAAGGAGTGAAGTGCTATTAAGTAGCTCATGCAGTTTCCAGCAAGTGTGGTTTGAGTAAGAAAGCAAGCTTAGTTTTGAATGACAATACTAAGAAGAATGAATACCACTCAATCAAATCTTTGGCTCCTTCAGTTAAGACACACTTCAAAGAAATCATAAGCAGAAACTACCAAAATACTGGCAAGTAAAAATGCATTTTATGTTATTCTCTGTTTTGTAACTTTGATTCCAATTTTAAAGTTGAAAATATAATCCCTTTGTTTATTGAGATTCTACTATATTTTTTCCTTACCTCTTTAAACTTGTCTAGTTTCCAGAGTGAAATGAGGTGAATCTGACATATGGGGATTCTATGGAGAAAACAAATCCAAAAACCCCAATATTAATGAAATTTAGTGCAGTATGGGACCCTTGGGAATTAGAATTTGCTTCTCATCAAGCTACAAATGGCATTTTGAGGACTGGTATGAGAATCACATCTTGCTTGTAGCTGGCAGATATAAGTCTCTTTTGGTGAGGATCACAGAATATCGTAAGAGCCTACAATTTTTGGTTAACACCATTTTGTCACAGAAGCTCTGAAAATTACCGTAATATAAATAATAAACTATGTTATTATAAATCTTCCAGCCAGTGTGATATCCTTAACTCCATGTGCTACTTTGGTCCTTCTGTTTTTTTTTGGTCAGGGTAGTTTTAACCTGGTCACATCCTCTGATGTAAATCTGGAGTCAATCCACACAAATTCTCCTTCTTGTTCCAGGAACAAAAGTGGCAACAAGGGAGGAATCCACAGCCATGAGAAAAACCATTTCTTTAGCAGCAAAAGATAGATCATTGTTTGAAAGCAGACAAACAAAAAAACAACTTAAGTGCACTGACAATTCCTCCTTTCACATCAGTCTTTAGGCCATACACCTCAGTGGACACTGTAACCAAATCTTTCTTCCTGCAGTACCAGTAAGAAAAAGCCATAGAATAACTCCCTGCAAAGGCCATTTCACTACCGCCAGATAGTAACTAAGTATTCCAGAACAGGTTACAAGACCTCTTTGTCCAATAAAAATGAGAGACTGACGAGCGAGGTAAAAAACTTAGCGTGTTTAGAAGTGCTGAAAATAGTATACTGTATAAACGCACCAGATTTTTCAATACAGGAGTCCTGCTGGCCTCTACCTAAAATGACCAAATATAACTTAGCATAATGTATAAAGAAGATAAAATCACTCATATTCTACTTTCCATTAACAGCCTCACAACTCTGACGGAACAGAGTGCTCACAGGCTCCACCTTAAGCTTCCAGGGTTGCTAAGGGGAGTGATATTCCTGACTCCCACATCAGGCTGACAAGAAACTCTACTGAACTGCCCCCGGAGACTGCTCCTACTTCTGTTACTGAGCTTCTATGCTTGTACCCCTGTTACGGTCTTCGCCACATCACACAAATTTTACTTTAGCTTCCCTCCTCTACAAACTGAGCTTATTTTTATGTCATAATTTCACCTCCTGAATGCAAATTTCATTTTTCACAGTGCAACCCATTAACAAGAGAAACTTGGTCACTCTGTACAGTAAGATTTGATCAGAAAGAACTTAAGGAAGTCATACAAATGTATCAGGGTGATAAAACATGAATTCGTGTGTTGCAAAGGGGGTTCAGTTAAAAACTCAATGCTAAATAAACTGACAAAAAAAGGGCTTACAAAATTACTTAAACATTTCAAATTTTATACAACCTTAAGTGCATGAACTGTCTGAATGTCAAAATTTAAGTAAAAAGGAAGAACCCTAATCAGAAAGCAAGAAATTGCCTTGAGAAATAAAGCTTTCTTTAAAAAAAAAAAAAAGTAGCAAAGATGAGAAAATGTATATGAAGTTCACAAACTCACTATATACAGAGGCTGAATCACAGAAAAATCAAAGCTGAAGAATAGTGTGAGCCTTCTATTTCCCCACAATTTGCATATGAATAGAGAAGGAGAATTGGTAATGATGTTATGGCACTAATTACAAAGTCCTATGGCCGGGGGGAGATAAAAAACCCAAAGACCGTGACACCTAGTAGGAGTTAGGGTCCCAAAATAAAAAAAAGCTAAAATAGAAAGTTGCAGAGAAAACATCTGCAAGTAGTGCTACTGTTGAGAGAAAAGGGAGAAGCAAATGTTCATGTACACCATTAGCGAGCCGCCTGAAACTTAAACCAACACCATTGGTATGGGATTTTTCTTGCAAGATCAAAAGGAAGCAGCAATGCCATCTGCTGTTTGCTTTGAAAATTGTTAGAGCAGATGTTCCCATGTGTGGACCCTCCATTCCTTCTACTAAGAAACCACTTGAAAAATAACCATGAAATGACATGGGGAAAACATCTGCATGGTATAGAGCAGACCACCAGTAGCGAAGCACAGGAAAGCCAAGAGAGGAGGAGAGAAAGGGCTGGAGCAATTCAAGCACGTCTTAGACTAGGTCAGAGACAGGCGTCCCGTTGCGTGGCGTAACCTCCATATGTATACATATGTATAACCACTCACTGGTTGTCTTTGCCTTTTGTTACTCAGCAGGAGGAAGCCAGATTTCTAACCCATTGGACCTATGTCAGGCAAGATACTGCATGTGTAGTTTAGCCAAACACCACAAAGAATGTGCTAGACAACCTGTATGGCAAGGCACAAGAATGACTTACTCCTTACTCTCCCTTTCTATAGGCTTATATATCACCTAGCACAATAAACACAAGGTAGTGTGTTTATCATTATGGACAGAGAAATTATGCACTTTCCACATTTCTAAAAGTGCTTCTACTTAAAAACTGAGATCTTCAACAATTTATATGGAATCTTCTATGTATTCCAACAAATCTTTCAACAATACAAGTACAGTACAATCACAGGTACCGAGATGTTACAGAACCATCTAAATACTATAGGAGACAGAAAAAAGATATAAGGTACAATGGGTATCTTATGCGTATCCTGGGAGTCTTAAAGGGGGCACATTTACCAGTCCTACAGCACTTTTAGAGATGATTGCAAAACATATTACCAACAGAGACTAACTTAAAAATATAGATCATAACAAAAGACATTCTAGACAGTTGTGAGATTAGAGAATTAGTTTGCCTGGTTTTTAAACAAAGTTCATCGCAGAACACTTTAAAAGGACTGATGGCTTTGCACAGCATGTGATTTTAGTGAAGAAATGATACACTATGACAAAGTTCTGAAAGAAGAGAGTGGATGATGAGCATCATTGCAAAAAGTCTGAAGAAACAAACTACATAAAGAAGTAAATTTTTTATTTCAGTGGAGACACGACAATGAATTGTTCATTTCTCTTGACCTCATGATCTCACATTTTAGAAGCTTTTTAAAAAAGTTAACCCAACTAGCACTACACTACATATGTGTAGGCACATAAGTCAGCATTTCAAGTTGCCCTTGAAATTGTGCTGCCTAACTGCTTTGAAAACATCAGCCTGGAAAGGGAAGCAGTTTTGTACAGCTGCCATACTCTTCAAACTGCCTTCATCCCATCTCATACTGTGCTTGCCAATGTATATCTGAATAGAACTATTTCTTTCCTGAAATCATGGAGGACCAGGGTAGACATTAAAATTTTTTACCTACCACCTGTTTGCTATTAATTGAGGCAAGGATTAACAACTTGTTAAACATTGTTCTTAGCAGACTGCTGAGTCATGATCTGTACACTACAGTAATTTGTTCCTGACTAATCTAGAATGATGGAAAAACACACTCAATCTTTCGAAAACTGATTGATGAACTAGTAGATCTCAACTTCTGGAGTAACTAAATGTTAGTGTTTGGGTGGAAATGCAGCAAGCACAGAGACACCTCCAGAAAGGTTCAATAGAACTTTACTGAAGATTTTCAGTTTACAACTCTCTCTGCTGGACCACTTCTTAATGTCTACCCCTGATGGATCTCTTAATTTATTACAATAACAGTGTGTATATATATTTCTTAAAAACAAAGACTTCCTTCATGTTTTAATTTGAAATGGCAGCCACTGGGACTGTTTGATTTCAATATCAAGATAGTCAGTCATTTGTTGGCAGCTCTGGTCATCTCAGACTGGAGACCTGTTGTGCCCTGTTTAATGATATGGTCTTTTAAGATTCCAAGAACACCCTAGTGCATCCCTGGGGCAAAGTCAGACACTGAATGTGAGGAAATGCCATGAAGAGTATTGGTTTTTTTTTGTTGTTGTTTTTTTGTTTGTTTGTTTGTTTGTTTTTCCAGATTGAACGTCTCTTTCTATCATGGCCTAGGAGCCTTTTAGTGTCAGTTAGTCAAAGCTCTTCCCTTTCCCTACTGCACTGAAAAAATAACAAGTATGGAAGGCAACACACATTATCCCAAGAAAGAGAAAAATACTAAAAAGATGGAAGAATACTCAAGGAATGAGCCTGATTGAGCTAGATCAGACAAATGGAAGGGGGAATGTAATGGGCTGAATCTTATAAGATGAAAACTGGGTGAATTAGCACCAGTAAAAGGACTGGATTTGGGGAACTAAATTTCTTTCAATACTATATAAGACAGTCCTTTTTAGGGTGATCTTCAAATTAGTATGTAAGAATTGAGGGGGAAAACAAGTCAAGTCTTACACAAGAAGAAAGTATAGAAGGGATGGAATGTTGCTACATTATCTTTCAATACTTTATGATGGCAGAATCATGGAATAGTTGAGGTTGGAAGGGACCTCTAGAGGTCATCTGGTCCAACCACCTGCTCAAGCAGGGCCACCTAGGGCTGTTGCCCAGGACCATGTCCAGACAGCTTTTAAATATCTCCAAGGAGGCAGACTTCACAACCTTTCTGGGCAACCTGTACCAGTGCTCAATCACCCTCACAGTAAAAAAGTGTTTCCTGATGTTCCAAGAGTACCTTCCATGTTTCATTTTGTGCCCGCTGTGTCTGGTCCCATCACTGGGCACCACTGAAAAGAGCCAGGCTCTGTTCTCTTTGCACCATCCCTCCCTCCAGATATTTGTACACATTGATGAGACCATCTTGAGCCTTTTCCAAACTAAACAGTCCCAGCTCTCTCACCTTTTCCTCATGTGAAAGATGCTCCAGTCCCTTTACCATCTTGGTGGCCTTTTACTGGACACTGCATTACATCCATGTCTCTCGTACCAGGGAGCCCAGAAGTGGAATCAGCACTCCAGGTGTGGTCTCACCAGTGCTGAGTACAGGGCCAGAATCACCTTCCTTGACCTGCTGGCAACATTCCTTCTAATGAAACCCAGGGTATCATTAGCCTTCTGATGTAAATGATCCAATTAGAAAATGTCTTACATGTGTTCTGAATGTGTTCTTCCATCAGTCTAGATTGACCATTATCAGAAGGATTTAACAGACTACATCTTGTATGGATATACCTAACTTCTTGGGCACTTTAGCCATTTATTCAGAGTTTTTTACAGGGTTATTCAAGTGGACTGTAAAGCTTACACATACTGTTCTTTTCTTAACCTCTTGAAGTGGTTGAGTAATGACTGACTCGAAGTAAGACTGAATAGTAAATGTGAATATGTTAAGACTATCTCTTCCTTAACCACTTCTCTTTAATAAAAAAATATGCTGTTGGCAAGAATTATTATCTGAGAATTCTCCCCTTAATGATGTGCCACAAGATTTCTATGGGTGTGAACTATCTTTAAAACCTCACAATCCTTTTGAGTTGTTAAGAAAAGCATAAGCTTTTTGGAGTTTTTAAAATAAACTTTTTCTAATTTAGCAATTTGCATTTTGTGCCCCAATGCTTGTATTTGTCTTATAAACAACTGAGGAGTGGTACTACAAGTACATTAGAATTGCCAGCTATGTAGTTCAGATCTTAGAGACACTTGAATCTGGATCTGAACTTTGCAGAACATATACTCATTTTAAAGTACAGAAAGCACAAAAGTGACTGAGAAGTCTGGAAATTAATTTGGCCCAGCTATGTTTCAGATGGCTACCATCTGTGAGTTTCTCAAAGACCAGAAACAGATATGTGAGTCAGCCCTTCAAATTACAACAGAAGGCAGAATAATGTGTGCACGTATGTACCTAGCCAATATAATAAATAAAAAATAATATATACTGATTTATCACATAGAATATTTCTTCTTTCTGCCAAGGTCTTTTGGTATATTTCCCCTTCTTTTCCTGCTTGCTCTTTCGCTCTTTTCTTTCTATTCTCTATTTCTCCCTCCTTCTAGTGATACAAAAAAAAATATATAATCAGAATTACAGTAGGCCATGATACACATTTGTGAGAAAATGAGAATTTCTTATTTACATATCCAGACCTTGGTCCTCTGATAGCTCAAAACACAAGCTCCTTCCTAAATCTTAGTTGAAAGTTGACTCATTACACATAGATTGGAAACAAATGGATTCATCAGAGGCAGTAAGAAACAACAGTTTGCTCAGAAATATTTTAGGGCTAATTTTAAAATTCAACAACATGTTCAGTAATCAGTATCCAAAACCAGGTAAAAAACCTCAAGAACAGCTTCTAGTTGTATTCTCTGAGACGCTGACAGTAAAAAATACTGTATCTGCCATCTAAAGTAATGCTGTTCAGTGATTAAAAACTACTCTGTCCAATTTTGCCAATCTATTTTATCTAAAATTAGAAGTCATTCATTGGCAAAACCAGATCTTTAAATTCACTGCAAATATGCTTAAATGTACTATTTTATTATGAAACTATGGGTAGGACAGAACCTAACAAATGCACACAATAATTGTTTGTTTTCTGTAATTTTATCTATTTTCAAACAATATAAAAGCACAGTATTATTTCTGTGAACAACCACAGCTGAACAGTTTTGTATGGTATTAACAATTTCTTACATATACCTATGCATTGTATGATCTATTAAAAGTACATTAACCAGAACAACAGGTTGTTCTGACATGTTCCTATAACTATCTTTTACTGTAATTAAGCATATCATGACTCTTCTAGATTTATATATTATTTCTGCTTGCAAGCTTGAAGTTGTCCCTGCAGTATGTATTAGGCTTGATTCAGGCTGGTATAAGAGACAAAAGATAGATGCTTTGTTTCAGAAGAGATTCTTATTGATAGAATATGTCAAAAGGACAAAACTTTGTTTCAAGGCATTACAGCTGCCAACAATTATTGCCACTACCCTATTGGTGTCTGCCTTTATTCTGTAGGGATGAAAAACATCTCTCTAAAAGGATTCTAGAAGTGGGCATGTATGGGTTATCAGGAGGAGCAGAATAACTAATTTCTGAATGTTTGTTCTCCATGTGACTTGTCTCTAAGTATAAGCAAAAATGTGGCTGCCTCAAAATACAGAGAAAGAAATTAATAAATTATTGTTACGAGGCAATTTTCAATATTACTGATTTCTAAAGTGAGACATTCATATTACAAAGCATCATTTGGCATACATCTAATGCTTTTATCACTCGAATTCCATACTCTCCACTTCTGATTCAAAACTTCAAGTAGCTCAAGGAATGATCATTTTCTTTCTGTACCTTCTAAAGAAGCTATTTCTGTTTGTGTTACAAATGTAGCATTTCTTGTTCACAATGAAACATATTCAATAAGAAAAGAAAAACACTATTGCTGATGAGTTCTGTGAAATTTATTGTTGCTAGCTTCACTTTCAAAGCATATTCTGTCATGTGTCTCCCCGCCCCAATAGTTATCGAATTGAATATCAGCCTAAATATGCAATTTGTTTACATGTGTACATTTCAAAACACTCTTTGTGTAAGTCCTGCTATATACTATTGGACCATCTTTTCATTCCAATCACCTCGAAATCTACTGAGGCATAATGATAACTTATGTGCTTTAGAAGCTGGAATCATCACTGGAAGAAAAGAACACAAGTTGATTCCGATTCAGACAGATATAAGCAGTATTTGTAAAATATTCTGTCTGCTCATCCCTATTGTCTATAAGAAATACTGTTATACTGTAATACTGCTCAATTCTTCCCCAGAGTCATTAATCTTAGAGGCCTCGGCTGGGAATCTCAAACTGTGAAGCAGCTGTCAATGCTTCAGAAGGAAACGCAAGCAGCCAGAATGAACACTAGTGCTGTTGTTTGTTTGTTCCTGCCATGTATAACACTCGCCAGCTCTATAACAACATTAGAACTGCACATTTAGAGCCCCTAAAATGATTTATACAGCTATTAGATTTAGCCACAACTTTTCTATTTGCAAGTATTCTATATTTCCAGTTTAAAGGCTTTCTCGAATTAAAATCTCCTGAACTGTAGAAATAAACAAAATGTCAATGCTGATTTTTTTTCTTTCTAGTAATATTCCACTACCTCAAACAGAAAATAGATTTTTCTTAACTTCTTTGAAAATACAGAAAAAAAATCAATTACAAATGAAAAAAAAAAGCTCAAATTGATTTTAAGGAGAATTCTTATTCTTCTGCACTATTTTAATCTTCATTAACTTATAATTCAAATAAAAGAAAAGCAGTTCTTTTAAAACACTAGTTTATATCTTTATACTAGCCTAACTTTTATCTACAAAAAGAAGATATGCGAGGTCGTTGACTGTTGTTATGATCTCAGATCCAAACTGCATGTTTCTATGCAATATTTTACCAGGAAATTCATCATACATTGGGCACTGAAATGCAATATCATAAATTCAGTTCAAATTAAATTGGCTACATACTGTCTATTTTGTTACTTATCCTTGGAGGCTGCTAAAGGAGGTAGAGAATACTGGACCATACCCAGAACTTTAAATTCATGAGAATTTATGTTTGTGAAACAGCATGCTCCTCAGGCCTATAAGCAATTGAGAGACAACGAAGCAGCATAAGAAGCCAACGCACTGTGAGCAGATGATGAATGTGTCTAGCTTTGTAAAGAGTCACATCTGGTATTATAACTCCTTGCCTCTACAAGTCTGGTAACTGAATAGCATATATTCTTAAGAATTTTGATTGCAAAAAAAATAATGGTTTGATGTACAAACCTTTTGAAAATATGCTTCATACAAAAGTTGCTGGCTTAGGAGCTGAGTCAGAAATTTAATGATAAGTATGCTGAAGTTCTGTAAATAAGATATTATCTTCTCTTGACCCTTTTCCAAAATAAAGACTGTCCTGGAAATAACTAATATGTTATTAGCTCTTCGATTTTTTCCTCTTGCTGTCCTGCTTCTGAAGATATTTTGCAGTCGCTGCTGTTACTAATAAGAAGTTTAGCAAAACAAGGATATAAATGAAGATTTGAAAGGATTCAGATGCCACTGGGGAATATCGATTTCAAAGTTCAGAATCCAAAAAGAAAAGTTCATAAATAAATGTTTACTGATGTAGCAAAGCAAATTATCTCCAAATAATTGTCTGCGCGTCTATCATCTACAAACTCAGAGGCATTATTTCCTAATTTTACAAGAAAATAATGTAATGATTAATTTTGTTACTTTTATGAACTGAGACAATTATGATGTAAGAGTGACCGCACTGTTTATTTACACAAAGAAGCTTTTGCTTTTTCTAAAAGAAGCAACTTACCCACAGATATACTTTTATTATACCATGATATATAGAGTAGCATCAGAAGACACTGAAGGTCATCTTGTTTGTAGAAGGCAGGTAAAGACAATGTTTTAGTAACCTCATAACAGGAAAGTTAATCTTGCCTCAGAACAATGGCTCAACTCTCTTCCGTATTCCCTTTATTCTCCTCGTACCTGTTTCATAAGGTGGTGAAGTCCCAGGTTTGGTCTTACCTTTAAGTGTCAAAGGAGATGTACAAAAATAAAGAAGGGAGATTTTGAAATGGAATGCATTTTCATAAAATATGGTGTTTGCTTTCCAGCTCTCAGGGAAGGTGACAATAACTTCCATCTAATGTGCAATTTATATGCCAAAGTTTGGAGTAATAACATATGCAAAGAAAATTCCTTCTAAAACAAAGTAAGTAATGTTCTCAGAGCTGAAAAAGTTTATTCACTTGTGCAAAAATCTCAGGGTTAGCTTTATTTCTATGAACCCAAAAATGTTATCAACAAAATATTTGGAATGCTAAGAGAGTTTAGCTATCAATTCTGGTTTTTTTCTAATAGTCATAACTATAACTGAGGATGATCTTCCCTACATCTACAATGTTGAAAGTCCTACTTTGAAAAAACTGGTACAGAAGTACACATTCAAAGTAGATTTTACGTAAGGAATTTGTTTGGAGAGTCTTTCCACACGAACAGTAGTGTGCTTGTTGAACACGTTCAGAGTAAGAGTCTGCAGTCAGAAGCATCAAATTCACGACTGCTGTCAAAAAGTCTAGTCTGCATAATGATTTTGTCTTCCTTTCTGAGTGTTTGCAGAGGAGATTTTCTCCACTGGCATTGTACAGTTCTACAGCAGTGCTTTAAAGCCAGTGTTGAGGAAGCACTCTGAAACAAGATTTGCAAACTATGATGAATCTTTGACAGTTAAAGCAGTTAGATTAGCAAATAAATAATGAAGTAGTAGGTGAGGAAGAAATCTCTACGTATGCCTACACTAGACTTCTAGGTCATTTTTGAGATATACTGGATCAGTGCAGTGTAATCAAAAGCTACTGAGAATCCCCCAACTGTTCATCCCATGTATTCATGGGGAATACTGTGTGAGTCATCTGTCATGACACATCCTGTATGTGCTTGCAACACGTCTAGCGTGACCTGTCAGCATTTTTCTCCATCTCATTTGTCTGGTCCATGAACTGCCTCGAGTCACCAAGACACTGTGTATTAGGAGTCTTGCACTGATCTTGCTGCACTTTGCAAACCACTAAAGCTTATGAAATAGATGTAGCCCAGAGGGAGATGGGTTGAACCCACCAAATTCACATCTACCACATCCCAAATTTTGTCATCCAAGGCTAGAATCCCACTGTAACTTCAATCTTCTTTGGAATACTGGACTGCAATGTTACTACTCTGTAGTATTCCCAAGGCAGTCTTTTCCCAAAAACTGATGGCTGTCCATTTCTGCTGTCATTTGCATTTTGGCAATCAGCAGCTTGCTCTTCTGCAAAACTGGGTTGACTAACAATGTGGCTCCCTTGAGCCAGTTGTTCACAGACAAACTCAAACACAAGGGTGTGCTTCTATAGTTGCCCTGTTTGCAGATTTGTGTGTATTTGCACAGAAGTGTACAGTACAGACATATAATGTAAGGCACATTAAGTCTCAGGTTCACTGTAGGCAGCTTATTGAGGTGTAAATGTTATCAATAATTATTTATGGCTTGCAAATCATTCACAAGTTATTTTGATTTTTTTTTTCAATCAATTTGATATCTCAAATTGTTTCACAAAGAAGCTTAGGCAAACACTAAAATTCAGTAAATCAAACTAATTGCAACTTCATTCTTTTGTCAGCACATATACCACTTATGACTTATGTCTTTGTTCTATATACCAGAGGCTTCTCCTTTTCACTAAGCACTGTCTTTGCAAATAATGTCTAAATTAAAAGAATTATCAAATAAAACAGCATTCTGATTACAAGAACATCCACCTACCTTTTAATTTCTGTATCATTGTGTGTCTATTATTTAATTTTAATACAATTCTTTTAATCACCATTAATGTTTTGCTAGATATGTCCTTCATTCTCTTGCTACATAAGCAGAAGTTAGTTATTCTAAAACTTTGATCCTTAACCCAACACTGGTGCACAAATCACACTGTTTATCCACTACCAGTCTTTCTGTATGAGCCTTCATTTTTTTTTTCTTGCTCTTGCCTAATGTAAAACTATGACAGTGGGAAAGAAAAAGTAGTTTAGATTCTACAGGGCACTGACACATATGCAACCTTCCACATTTCCTTTACATGAAAAGTTTATGTTGCACTGCACGGAGGCAAGGAAAGAGAATTCAAGAAAGGATGCCATGTGTAACCTTAGACAAGTATTAGACTCACAAGAATGATAGCCAAAGACATAGAGAAAGCTTTAGGCAGCACAACCAGGCCTACTATAACCAGTCAGTCCCAGCTTTCCTGCATGGGCATGATCACAACAGGACAAAAAATGCTGGGGGCAGAGATGAGACCGGGTAAGACAGAAATTTCTAGGACTGACAGGATGCAGTGCACATTACTCTATAGGGATAGATGAGAAGAGATACATGAGGATAGACCACCTGCTTGCTTAATAAAGTCTATTAAGGCAAAGATTAAAACCAATTGGCTCTGTGAATGAAGCTTATGGAGTTTTGTATTATATTTTTATTATAACTAATATGACCATAATTTTAGTTATTTGCATTTTTATCTAATACTAACTTGCTTAAGACTTGCTTATATCTAATACTAACTTGCTTAAGATCCTTTCAGTTTTTAGGTTGACCTGTATTTCATTAAAAAAAACACAAAACTTTATCACTTTCCTAGTCTTAAGAGAGGATTGTGAGCATTAATCTTTTTGAAGAAGCCATTTAACCCACAAAGAAAGGGATATATCCTCACATACTTACAGCTTTTCAACAAGTGGGACAGCCTCATCAGAATGCCTCATAAACAATAAATGAACAGATTATTAGAAAAGATCTTGAGATAATGAAAAACTATTCCTTTTTCTTATTGAAAATAGAGTTTTGCCCAAGGTTAGATAGGAGAGCTTTGAAAGTATTAGGAACTGAAGACAGATTTCCTGAATCTCTTAGAACTTTAACCACAAATCTTATTGCAAGTATACTGACTATAAGCTTCAATGTTTGTTGATGCATCTAAATTTTATTTTTTACAAGTAAATGATACCTATCTGTATGACAATACCATGCAAACTGAGAATTTTTACATGCTAACATCAAGTTGTGAGCACGTAGACTGCTTTTCCATTCTCAAATCAGAGATTGTCTTAAATAAATGTGCTAACAGCAGCTATTTCTAGTCAAAATACATCAAGAATTTCAACACATTTTCTTCTCTCACAGCCTTATTAACACAAATGTAAGCACCCAAGCTCTGCTACCTCACTTCCATTAGCAATATAGGAACATTAGTCTAATACAGACTCACTTGTTCAGCAATAGTCTGGACTATGGTTCAATTTGTGTAGCTGTGTATTGCACAGAGGGGAACTAACTAGATTTCAGAGGACTTTTCTTGTCAATAGCACACAGAATAAAATTCAAAATCTTCAAAGCTGTTTTTCTACTAGTGGACATTATGTAGCATGCAATGCTCTCCTCCTGTATTTAATCTCACTGGATAGGTGCTGACCTTTAAACCCTGGTTACTATGCCATTTGACAAATACATGTTTCTCACAGATGTAACAATTGCCTTCTAAAGCTTCTGTGGTGGCCCTCAGTGGTTGCCTTCAGTGGTATCTTGGTTCCTAAATGCTCAGCAGTTATGTTAAGCCAAATCAATACAAATCAAAGCCTGCAATGATTTAATGATTCAACAGGAAGGAGTGCTGGATGACCCACAAATTCTTTTACACTTCATTTTCTTCTCGGGTATTATACTAATATTTTAATAATGTGAACTATTCTCCTGCACTGTATGAGTCCAATCTACAGCATCTAGCCTGAAAAGAAAAACTCTGAGACCTGTATTTCAGTAACAAATATACCAAAGCAAAAGTTGCCAGCTACTTCTTCAACCAAATGAGCCCCCACAAAAAGGAATACTAGGAAAGGAAAACAAAAATCTTGATTTAGAACTCTGTTTTTCATGGAGACACATGGAAATGGATCATTAAGCAGTTAGGATGGAGCATGATGTTGAACTAACAGAGAGAAAATAATTTCATAGCCAGAGTCCTCATTTCTATGTAAGGAACTTTTCCCATACTCTTCTAACATCTTTTTGTTTATGTGAGAAAATGCCACTGAAAAACACTTTTGCAGTCACTCCACCATGAGGTATGATGCCCGTATTTCTAACAGCTTCCCTTGTTAACAGTGGTAACTGGGAGGCAATTTTTCTGCACAGATCTCAAATTCCTTGTGCTCTACCCTCAGCTCCTCCAGATGCAGCATGTGCACATACCCTGCTACGAACAGGATCACAAATCACACTGAAGGACAGTTTCCATTCTGGAGCTCATGATCTTTGCTCTTCCAGTTATGTCACCATGATCATCCTTTTGGCTCCTCTTCCTTAGGGTGATATAGTGGCACCAAAGAATATGTTCCTTGCATTCAAAACATCCTCCTGACTACATATGTTAAGCAACTGCCAAACTCCTCTTTTAAGCATCAAATGAGAAAAAGATATTTTTAAAGATATTTGCACATAGTGCACATTCCAAAATCTCTTATAACTTTCCTTAACAACATACTTTTAGGTATTTGTCTCAAGCAACAGTAAACAACCACCACTTTTCTACCACTCGTGTGAGAAGTGGAAGGTAACCCAACGCATACTAAACACTTCTTTTTGTTTTCTTTTGTTTTGCTGTGGGTTCAGATAAAAGCATAATGAAAATAAAGACGAGAGAGAACAGCAAAGGAATACAAAGAAACACCATTAT